CACCTCCTAGAGGGGTAGACTTGGGAGATCGTTTTGATGAGCGAGTTAGGCAAGTTTTACTTTTCCTCCAGATCTCCCTCTGGTTGTTCCTTACCATGGACTTTGCTGGGTGAGAGAGCAGACGATGGCTGGAGGGAGGAAGAGTTGTGAGGAGTTAGAGAGGGAGCAGAGGTGGACTGGGGCCCGCTGAAGGTGTCCATAGCCAGCTTGTGCCGGAAAGCCTCCTCCTTCCTGCGATTGGCAAACCAGTTGTAAACTCTCACCTCCGTCACCAGGTTTGAGCCCAGCCCCTGGGCCTGGGATGGGGAAACGCCTCTCTGAATACACTCTGCTCTGTGGGGGAAAATGCAAAAAGAGTCTTACTGAGCTGGATTCAAAGATGTGGAGTTAAGTGGGCAACCCCAAAATGTCTGTGGCCGGGCACAGCGTAAGGGGCCTGCTGGAAAGAGCAAGACACAGGGCATTTCTGGATCTTTTGTGAACAGTGGGTGCTCAGTAGTGGTATTACATTCAAAGCAGGCTGGTGGCAGTGGTGACATCCACTGCTGTGCCATTAGGCTGCCTCTCACGAGCTCTAGCAAACAGCAAGGAGACAGAGAGGCCCTCCTCTGCCCTTCTCCCTCAAAGCCAGGCTCCCAGCTTCACCTGTTGCACTCCTCCACCAGTGCCTCTCTCTCTTCTTTGCTGGGATTTTTCTGTCTCTCGTAGGCTTGGAACAGGATCTGTTGTGAGGCAGGACCCCACTTAAAGCGGTTTCTTCTTCCCTTCTTGGTGGGCAGGTCGTCTCCCATGGGCTCCTCTGTCAAGATACCCTGGCCAGCGTGTGTGAATTCTGAGGGCACAAAGGGACAAGGGGATTTGCCTGCTGGAAGGATTTCCAGTAGCGTTTGGTGCCCAGCAGGCCCAGTGCAGCTCACCCTTAGAATATCTCTTACAAGACAGAGGGTTGAATCTAGATGAGGTGGAAATAGAGCTCTGTAATCTGCTAGAATAGATGAAGCACTCCTAGCAGGGCTATCTCTACCTGGCCCTTCTCTTGCATGCGTTGCATCTCTGCTTCCACCTTGGAGTAGTGAAAGCCAACACAGCTGAGTCTAGAGTAACACGGCTGATGGAGTCCTGCTCTCCAGAATCATCCAGAGGCTAAGTGTCTCATTTTACTTGCAACCCATGGATACGAAACTAAGTAGGACAGATTCCAGCCAGACTCATGAACGTGGTGCATGCTGCAGGGGCGGGCTCCCAGTGTGCACCTAAAACGAAAGGGCTCAGAGCGCATGAGGTGGTAGCCCGTGGTGGTGTGCCCCAGAGAGTACAGCAGCTTGCTGTGCTTTTGCAGCTAGAGGAACTGCTGCTTTGGCTGAATTTGCAAAAGCCTAGTTGTCAGGCAGAAATTCTGTCTGTTTTGTCCCCTGACCAGCGCGCTGTTTTAGTCTGAGGAGGGATGTAGAACTGTAGTCACAAATGGACAGTATTAATTTACTTCAGCTAAATGTTGGGAGGGGGGAAGCTGCAGACTGTTTTATGAGAGAGTTTTTCTGTGCACAGTTTAGTTCACCCTCACTGAATACTGACCTAGACTTTTCTAAGCTTTCTGTTGCAATGGTTCCTTTTTCCTTGATAGAAATGGGGAGTAGGGCTCAGCAGGGGAGGGAGGAGGCGTTTATGAAATCGGAGATACTTACGCTGGGCCACCTCTCGCTGCTTGCGGACGTACCAGGTGTAGAGGGCTGCCCTTTTCTGCGTCTTCATGGGAGTGCCCTTGTTGAGGTGTTGTGAGAGGTGAGATTGGTTCAGACCAGTCGTGTCCACCACCTCGCGCTGAGGGATGTTGTGCTGTTGGAGGTAGGATTTCACCATCTTTGCTACCCGCCAGGGATCCTCTCTGGAAGGAGCAGAAAACACTTCTCAGGAAAAAGAGGTCTAATGGCTGTGTTCAGCAGACCTGCTTTCCAAGGAGGTGCGCTCGTACTTCCCGAGGTGCATCTTGCACGTCAGTCTTTTCCACGCCGTTGCCTTAGGTGAGGTGAGAGTAGTAGAGTGGCTGCTAAGGGGAAGCTGTTCCTCGCTCTGATACCTTGTGCAGTGGGGCCCTGCATTCAGGGTAAAACTGCACCGTGTCAGAAATGAAGCGGAAAAGCTGTAGCGCCAGCTTCCTGTAAACTGTTCTTCGTAGGTACTTTGATTTCTCTAGAAGAAGAAGGTGATGCTCCTGTTATCATGGGAATTTCCCAATGCATTGCCACAGTCTTTGCTATCTTCAGTCATTTTTTATACAAGGTTTTGCCTTGTTTTTATCTAGGCAATTACTTGTAAATCACAAAGTGCTGACATGAGTAAGGAACAGATCTTTCTACGGGAAAGCAATGTGAATGTAAAGCATTTCTGCGGCTACGGAGAGATGTTACGAGGAGGGAAGTGACGTCCCATTTCAGTGTTCAGTTGGATGTTTTATGAGTGTTTGAGTGTTATGAGTGTTTTGAGGAACCCCTCTGCACCAGCTCCTCTCTCCCTCCGTCCCTCCCCCATGCAGTACATACCTTTTCCTCTCTGTCTGTCTTTAGGGCCTAGGTACTCAGGGTAGGTGTACTTCATTTTTCTAAGACAGATTCACTGTACTACTAGACCAGCTGAACCTAGCTCATGCCCTGATTCTGGTCAAGGTTGGGTTACCTTGCAATGACTGAGAAAATGAAGACAGGCTTTCGTCATACTGCTACACATGACTTCTGTGTGTACACCAAGCCATCCAGGATCATGTCCTTGCACATCTGCTATGTTACTCATAACACCTACTGATTCATATCCAGATCTACTCAAACATCTAAACGCAATGGAGAGCAACAGGCAAAACACAAATTCTTCTGATTGCCACCATCCTTCAAGGTAACAGCTTGAGGAATAGGCCTATCTGAGACCTACTCACAAAACTCAGGAAGCTAATTTGATTTGGGATTTCATAATGAATGTGAATCTCTGATTGTTAGGATCTCTAATTAGAATATCTATGAAGGTTTCCAAGCAGGTTATAGGGAAAACAGAAGACTTTATGACCATGATTTATTTGCTATGTGTACTGATTTCACCAAAGCTGAAAATCATAGTAAAAATAGGAAGGTGTGAAATGCAGTCGAGCCAACCAGTACAGGTGTGTCTCTACAGCAAAGCCCCGGGCTTCTGCTCAGTTTTGACAAAGAGCATCCTTTCTTGTTTGGTATGTGAAAGGTCTGGTGGAACAGAGGGGAGTGGAAGTGGTCTGCATGCTGTAAAAATACCCTGATGTCATTTCTAGCTCCAGCGGTAAAGGAGCAATGGAGGAAGAAAAAAAAAGTGCCTAGGATTATGGAAAAACTATTGCAAGAACACACAGGTCTGAGCAACAGGCTGCAACTGAACTGTTCAGTGCTTTGTTGACTCAGTAGGTTGCCAGAGGCTGCAAAGTGATAAGGAGAACAAAGTCCACATCTGTTCTCTCAGTGCAAACACCCTTATCTCTGTTCCCCTTGCAGCTTCTTTCACAGTGGCTGGACAGTCCAAGGAGCAAGCTCCACTGCAGTTAAAGTATGACAGAAGCACTGTCAGTTACAGCTTCCTGAAGGATCTGTTTTCTTAAAATAGGACCATTTGTTCCTCTTTTATGATGGGTCAGTTCCAGGGGCCTCAGTATTGCAGCTTCTTCCCTTAACCATCTTTGCCTTTCGGAAGCCTCAGATTGGGCTGAACTCATGGAAGCTTTTCCTTTCTCGGTGGTTTGTTCTCCTACTGTCCAAGCCAAGGACCAGTCTCCTCCCTTAGTATTTGTGATAGTAGTCTAGCCAGCACTTGTGCCCTGAGTTTGTTACACAAATCCCTCTACGAAGGAGAAAGGGCTCGAATGTGGAATCTCTGGTCTCTTAGATGTGAGCTCTGGCTCAGACAGGAAGACAAGGGGCTGCATTATCACTGATGGAAACATCAGTTACGTGTTGTTGTCCTTCCTGCACCCCAGTCACAAGTCACTTCTGACTCTCTTGTCAAGATCTCCACTTTGTGGTAGGAATAAAGCAGGAAGTATCTGTGAGGATGACTTTTCTCACAGTGGTTCTGTGATTTTCTTTTGTTTTGAGACAAAGCAGAGTTTTCTGAGGTACAACAGGGCAGGGCATCTTAGTGAGCGTGACTTCATAGGACAGTTCAGATCCTGGCTACCCGTAAACTGTCAAGGCCCAGGCTGTAATTCCAATGCAGCAATTCCTTTTGGCCCTAGGCTATGTCACAGAACCAGTGATGGCAGTCAGTCAGTTGAGGCCTCAAATGAACCATTGCCCAAATCCACAGATCCACCTGCAGAGCCTTCACCGTTGACTAAACCACTGTAAGATGAAACCATTCTGTTGAAGTTGGTGACAAAGCTGTCATTGACTGTCAGAGTAGGATTTCACCCAAAGCGTAGCCTTCCTGGCTGTCATTGCACTAAAATCTCAATTGCTTCAGTGAGTCAAACTGTGGAACTAGGTCTGACTTGCTCAAGCTCTCCTCCTCCATCTCCAAGTCCCTTTCCTGCTTTTACCTTTCTTTCTCCCCAGATACAAGCTGTCTCCCCATTCCTGTCTTGTTCTCTGAGGTCTAATCTCTATCTCCAGGTTCTTCTCAAATGGTCTTTACTTCCTTCTTCCTAAGTCTCGCTCTGCTGCTGCTTGCCTCCTGAGTGTAGCCCCTCTCCCCAGCTCCACTCGACCACAGGGGCCTGGGTCTTCTCTCCATTCCAGCTTCCCATTTTCTTAGTTCTGAGGTCACTTTTTAAGGGCGTTTTCACCTCCCTTTTGTTACCTGAACAATAAGTAACCCAGGTAGTTAGTTATAAACTCAAAGGGAACAAGAGGCTGGTTGATAATTTATAGCAACATCTCAAATTTAAATGGAAAGTAAATATCAAGTTGTTAGCATTAAAGAAAACCCATTTCAGAGAGCTGAGGATGTAACATTCGGGGGACCTTCTCCCTCCTTCACTCTTCCTGACTTTTCTTTCTCTTTCTTTTTCCTTTGTTCCTTTCTTTCCCCTCCTCTTCCTCATTCCCTCTGTCTCTCCTTTCCTCCTTCCCTGTTTTCCAGGTTCCCAGGCAAGAGAAGCCCTCATTTCTCTGAGGTAGATTCTGAAGTGCTGCTTTGGACCAGACCTTGGTTAAGCAGAGGTTCAGAGCTGTGAAGTGCTCAGGACCATCCTCTGGCCCTTTCCTCTGGAGCTCGCCAGACAACTCCCACTGGTGCCAGTGCACAGCCCGGAGCCGGGCTGGGCAGAGAGCAGGGAAGGTAAGACCGTCCCGGCTGGGTTCTTTTCTATTGAACTTGGCCTGGTTTGCCTCATCTTGGTTTATATGTGGAAATGAAAGGGGTGTGGCAGCTTCATGTCCAGATCCTCAGCTAGAGCTCTTCTAAGACACCACTGACATGGGGGAAAGACCGGACCTGTATCATTACATCTTTGTTTTTCTTTCTTCCTTCTGGAAACCAGGCTTTTATCCCTGCCTCCAGGGGAAATCTGTTGCTTATCTCAAGTTCTCTCTTTCCTAGTGGAATTTCACCCCTTGCCCTGCAGGTGGATTGTTGCTATATCTCTTCTTGTTTGCTGTGCCTCCGGTAGTATGACCTGTCCAGACCCCCCCAGGCTGTCTCTCCAGGGAACTCCAGGGAATATCTGGGAATTACTCCACACACCTCCATCTCCCTAGTGAGGTTATTCTTTAGCATAGACGCAATTCTTTGTGGAGTGATCTGGAGAGAATATTATTTTTCATTTTGCAAGTCTGGGGAAGACCAGTGAGACTGATTTAGGCACACAAAACAATGTTAATTCATCGCTAGCAAAACCTTTCTCTGAACTGCCTTTATCAGTCCTGTCCGCAAAGGACAGAAGGTGACATGCCTGCAGGTGCACCCCGCTGCGTGGGTGGTGTACCTTGCCCACATCCTGGCGTGCTCAGTGTTGCTCAGTAGTTCCCAAACTGTGGCTCCCTCTTTAGTGGTCCTGTGAGGACAGATTTGGTCTCTTGGTGCTGTCATTTTTAATTTCCCGCTCCTGGAAAGCCTAGCAATGGACACTTCTCATGCTACTTTACTATATGAGCAATGGCTGCAGCTACCACAAAGACTTTCTTGTGTCACCAATAGCTGCCCAAAGTCAATCCCTCTCCTAAAATGTGGTCTACAGTATTAGTCCAGGACTTTTTAATAGTGCCCAGCAATGCTTCTGCTTAGAGGTAAAAGTGCCTCCATCTGGTTTCTCAAAGACTTGAAATGCTTGTGTAGATGCTGAAACAGCTTTGCAAGCATTGAAGTTGTGCTTGGAGATCAGTTTTTTTTTTGCCTTCCTTCCTTTCATCTGCTGCTGGGAGTAATTTCTGTTAAAGACTGTTCTCCCGTATCTACGCTTATTTGTAACACTATTTTAAGGACGTTACCTTTAGGTGTTTGTTAATGGAAAGGTTTGTTCTTACAAAAAACAAAAAAAACCCAGTATGTATTAGTTGGTAGCTACTGTTTATGTACCATCAGACCCTGGTATTGACATGCTTTGAATATACTTCCCAGATATACAGTTGATTTTTTTTTTTTTTAAGTCTTTGACCAGAAATATGAAGACTGTCAATATGGGCTTCCTACTCTCTCCATTCCACCTCAAATAGTTTTGGTCCATTATATCCCCCCATAAGGACACTTGTAACTGGGTGGCTTCTGGTTCCCTTTATACTGCCCTGAACAGCAGAAGTGAACTGTTGTATCCTGTGACATTGAGGACTGAAGAAAGCAAGCCCTGAGGTTTCAGAACAAAGTGTTGCAGTTAAGACCCAGTACAAGGCTTAAGAGATCCTGGCTCTTGCCCAATCCTCTCGCCACTGTCCTAGGGGTCTTTAGATGAGTCAGAGAATCTGTACCTCAGTTCCCATTTCTGTAAAATGGGAATGCTGCTCAGTTGGCCATCTAGAAGGGAGACCATTGATTGGAAAGCATAAATAATACTGCAGGCACGCAAGGTAGGTAAGAGTGTTGTGCTGAGACTGGTAGGAAGCACAGGAGAGGCTGGTAGCCAGCTCCTGGAAAGGCAGGGAGGATCAGAAACTGGAATTCATGGTGAAGCGAGGGTGGCAGGAAGGAGCCCCTTCTGTCTGTGAGTCTGCTCTCAGATTACGGCAGGCGGCTCTTCAGCCCTGCTGCACCCATTCATTACAGAGTGGGACAAAGCCGGGTGCTCCTCTTCCACCTACATGGCTGCCTTTCTGGAGAGATACCTGATAAACCATCAGAAGTTAATGATCAAAAAGCTTATCAGGGTCTTTTCATCTATAAATTTATAAGACAAAAGAGAAATAATAAAGCCATTGGATAATTAGTAACTAGCCAGGGCCCGCCCGGTGCCACTGGGCTCAAACTACCCCAAGACCTGTACGCAGACTCAGGGAGAAGAGAAGGAGACAAGGATGAGGGGAAGGAAAAGAGTGAGGAAGGATGTGAGAGAGAATTAGCCAGGAAGACATCAAAATGGGAGGACTAGTGGCAGAGACAAAAGTGAGGAGAAAAAGGGAACAGGTAAAGAGAATGGGAGAGCAACAGTCAGGGGGGGGGGGTGGGTGGGGGGGGGGGGGGGGGGGGAAGAAAAGAGAGGCAGAGATTTGGGGCCAAAAAGAAGATTGAATTATTGGGAATGTTTCCCCTCCCAGGTAAGAGCTGATCCTGTGAATTTTCTTCCATTGAGAACTGCAGAGACATCAGCTCCCAGCTGCTCTTCTCTTAAATATTTACAGCGAATGTTAACGCCTGTCATGCTGTTTTTCTAGCTCTGGCCTTTTGTAGTGGGATTTGATGTTTGCCTCTTATTGTTGCACTTTGTTAATTCCCTTTAACCGTGAAGAGGATTAATCAGAAGGCCCAACAAATTCTCTAACTGGATTTTAGTTTTAGTGAAGATTTGAAATGCAGGACGGTGCTGCATCTCGTGTCTCCCAACAGCTTGTGGTTTCAGAGTACCTCCAAAACGGAGGGGCAGTATTCTGCTGCTGTTGGGCTAGATGGCTTTGAAGGACCTGATCCTCGCCTGGACAAACCTCTGAGGGTGGTTATTAGGGCTTGCACCCCAGTAAGAATCCCAAACGTGAGTCCTGGTGAATGTTTCTCTGGGCCTGTCATGAGACTCGCTGGTTTAGGGGATTCTTCCTGTCTTTTGACTTAATGCTTGCATGCAAAGGCAAATTTCTGTGGCAGTAAAACCTGTAACTGTTCCTATGTGTGCTCCGTAGTTACGGCAGACGGCGGAGGGTAGGAGCATAGCGAGTTCTTTCTAACCTCTGCGTATATTTGGTTTCTGCTCTTTCTACAAGAAAAATCCCCAGTGAAGTCAGGAGAATTTCGCACATGCACGAAAGACAGGAACAAGCTCTCTTGGTTTATCTTTGACAAATAACATCTATAGGAAAAGCCAGTAAAAAAAATTTTAACCTCCTTAAAAATAGCAGGAAAAACTAAAACTCTCTACCATAATTTCTAAGACTACTGCGAGGCCAGTTAACAGAGACCAGATTTTTATGGGCTGCTTTTATTTTTATTTTTTTTCTCCCTTGATGACAGAATCTGTGACTCCTATAAAAATTAACGTTTAGTCAGAGAGATGCAGGGTGTCCAGGCCTCGGAGTGCTCTGACGCCCGTTTCCTGATGATACGAGCACTTCTAATGTGCAATCAGGCTCCATAGCTCCCTTTACGCATTGGAAGTGTGATCAAAAGACAAGTTTGAGCATCTGCAAAGAATTTGGGGGGCTGCTAGTCCTGGCATGGATGAAGACAGTCTCTGTGCGGTTAGATCAGCTGTGAATACCAGGGACGCTGGTAGGAAGAAAGGAAGGGGAAAGGAAAGAGATTCGGAGGGAGAGAATACAAGAAAGAGCAGCAAAGAGGAGCAGCAAACGTGTCCTTACTGTAATAGTCTCTCCACCACAGCCTTCTGGTGAGCAGCCTCCTCAGGGCTCAGGTTCTCCAGCTCCTTCATTATCGGAGGGGTAAATTCCTCCCCATCATCAGAGGTTTCATCTTCCGATAACCTGGCCTCCCCCAGGCCGTTGGGGAGAGCGGGGATTTCGGGGCACGAGTCCCCTTTCTCTGTCTGGAGGGCATGGATGGCGCGCTGGCTCTCGCTCTGGAGGACGTAGGGCTCCGCTTCGCTCAGCGCCTTGATCAAGGTCTCCTTGGTCAGCCCCGACTCCAGCAGCGCTCCTAGCAGCTCCACTTGAAGGTGACTCAGCTTCGAGACCATGGTCTTCAGCCTCGTGCCTCTTGGGTTTGAATTTCAGCTTATCCTGCCTCCAGCTTCCCTAC